TTTTCTTGCTTGTGAAATTAAATCTATATTATGTGTAAAATAATCTATTATAAACCATGCCAAAATTTTTTGTAAGTCATGTTTTGTATGTTGTGAAACATCATCTTTAGTAAAATTTTCTTTAATTATATGTAGAAAAGTTGAAATTAGTGTGATTTCATGTCGTACCTTTATATGTTTGGATGTCTCTGTCGGTGAGACACTTGGGATTGGAATTTCGTTCTCTAATATTGAGATATAACTATATATTATGGCAAAAACTTCATTAGTGAATATGGAGTTTGCTCTTTGTGAGTTATGATATTGTATGCTTTTTATGTATTCTGAGAATACTTTTGAAAATTCTAAATCAAGGTCGTCTGTTTGAATTACATATTTGCGGTGATTCGGGTTTGGTGAGGTAAATTCTATGGTGTAGATTCCGTAGTGTTGTGTCAAATTACATATATCTTTCAGATAGTGATCAATAATTTGTCTTTTGATTTTTACATCTGGGAACTCTGCTTTACATGGGCTAATTCCGGGTTCAAATAAATTTAGTAGTAAATTCTTGCAAAGTATATGCTGTCCTCTATCAGTGGGTGCATCTACGAGGAAGGGGAAGATATCGTCATCATCTGGACTATCTTCACTTGGAGTGTGTGTTTGGCTCATTTTTTCGTTTAATGACTGTTAATAGGTAATTATCGATGTGTCTAATTGGTTGATTCCAATTATATAAATGTCCTGGTTTGTGTTTATATTGCTTTTTTATTCTTCTTTTTCCTCTTTTTGATGAATTCGAAGTTGCTTCTGAGTCGGAAAAATATAATTGATCGTGAATGGGGCAATTTTTATCTATAGATTCTTTTAATTTATAAAGTTCGTCTAAATTGCTGACTTCTGATTCTGAGAATGCGTTTCTATTTTTGGAAAATCTTTTTCGTGTTATTTGTCTTTGTTTAGTTATTATTTTTCTTTTTAGTGATTGTCGTTTTGTTCTAATATATCCAACTGTTTGTGTGTGAGGTGTGATTACAAGGTCGTATTTTTTGTTATCTATTTCACAGTTGTGCAAAACGATTGTTTGTTTGTTTCCTAGATTTTTAAATGACATAAGGTTTAGGATGACGGATGCAAAAAGTTGTTAGATGATTTCTATTTTCTTAAATTGTTAGTCCTTACGATTTTTTGGTTAGCTTAACCTGAGTCTATTTGTTCAGGGTTGGAGAGAAAAGTATATCGATTCCAAAGAATGATTTTATACTTTCTCGTGGTTAGTATAAGCTAAGGTGTTAACTTACTTAATCTTACTTAAGGGTTGTGATTGTGTTCAAGGGTTGGAGAATAGTAAATTGATCCACAAGGTTCAGGTATAATTAGAACGCGAGTAGTTCGTTAGATACTATTTTAAACTTACTAAGTCTATGATTTATCCTGGGTCTGGTAAGAGGAGGGTTCAAGTGAAGGATGAATAACCGAAGATCTTCACTGTTTATCCTAATTTGAATGGTTAGTTTTGTTGAAAAATTTCTATTAGTTTTGGGTTTTGAGAAAGGGTTGGATAGTGAATCGACGTTTGAGGTCGTTAGACACTGGCTAAATTGGTGGGGGAGAACAAAATTGTTCTTTTTGATCCAAGGAGAGGCCTTGATGATCAAGTTTTAAAATTTAAATAAATAGAAAGTGAATTAAGATCCAAGGATAAGCCTTGATGATCAGATTTTTTAAAATTAAGTGAATTTAAGTTTAAAATGGTTTAAATTTGTTTAAGAAAAGATTTAGTGTTTGAATGATATTAGTGAGCTTATGATTGCTGTTATGTTTTAGGTGATGAAGCTGAGACAACTGATGATTTTATGATTACTAACAGTTTATTGTCATGCTACTAATTTTTATTTTGATTTTTAATAAATATTTTCCAAACATGTTTTATATAATACTGCAGAATTTTAGGAAAACGATCTGAGATATTTTTATCAATCGTTATTGTATATTAATATTTTGTTTAGCGCCTGTAATGTTCATGAAGATTGGCTTCAAGATTTTATGTTTGCAAATGAAAATCTAAATTCATTGCTAATAAAATTCTAAATATAAAAGCTTGTGTTGGCTTTTGCCGTACTATCATATAACTATTTGGTAAGTTTCTACTTTGTCGTAATTCGTCTCTGGTTCGAGGTATTCTTCCAATTCCGGGTAGTTCTATTATCGTTCGGAATATTGGCTCTGATCTATTGAGTCGTAGAGACATTTCGATTAAATTATCGTCGTATAACATTTTGAAAATGTTTTGTCTAAATTCTAATCTATTTTTGGTTAATTCTAAGCTATTAAGGTCTTGTTCGAGACTTATGGTCGCACCAGATGAGTTATAAGCGATGTGGTTAACTCATAGAGTAATTTCGGATAGGGTACACCGTCTGCTCGTCACGCTATCTTATTTTCGGCCGGATAGATTCGTGCAACTTCTTAGTCTAATACCGATCCTAATCTTACTCTTATACTATCTAGTCTCAGGTTGTTTAACTAGTCTCTGCTAGGCTCAATAGATCTAGGGTATACTGGTTTATTGCGGCTGCTGAAGTTCGCTTGGAGAGTCAACTAATTTCTAAGTTAAATTCAAATCTCTGGTGCTGAAATTACAAGTAATTTCAGCACTTACAAATAAGTGGGTTGTTAGTTAAATGGATCATGATTGGTTAATATTAAATACTTTACAATGGTAAAATATCTAATTTATCCAATCATAAAATGTAGTTTAGATCAGGTTCCACAAAACTTACTTTTCCCAAAAAGTCTCAATTAGAATTTAAATGACACATTTCATTAAAAAAACTATAAGAAATATCAGTTTTTGAAAATTAGAACCTTTTGATAATCACTTTTTTTTATTTGTCTGATCTTTTGCCTGAAAATTTACAATTATTGACGCCATACAAAAAACGACACAGTTTGCCATATATAGTTTTAGCAAAAATAAACAGAAGGTTTTTTTGCTTGTAGCGCAGCATCTGGAAGTTTTGTTCAATTTGAGTTTGAATGATTAATAGGACAAACTGATTTCTCTCTTTTGTTAATTTCCGGAAAAAATAAAGTATCACAAGTGATGATTTGAATGAGTCGATTTATATACCATATAATCCCTATTGAATCCTTTTCAATCCTAATTTGAACAATCTTGACAAAGTTTCAAAAAATTTTCTCAATTTCTTATTTCAGCAAATAAAGCGAGCGCGCAGGATCATTATAGATTCATAATCCGCCGTGAAAATTGATAGGCCGTGAAAAGTTTTATTCAATTTAAAAAATTTGAAACTTTAGGCGCCTTCTTGAGAATAAACAATTTTTTATAAAATCAAAACAAATTTAAGCAGAAAAACTTTTTCGAAGTGCAAATGTTCTTTCTTTTTTCTTTCTTGAAACTACAAAATATGCGTTATTTAAGGCTTGAATTCAAAACTTATGATTTTTTGTTATAAGTAAAGTAACCGGCTACCTTTAATTTGGTTGGTGGCTGACGCAAATTTGATAAATTCAGCATGAAATTCTACTCTAAATTATAAAACTTTAATTTTAAGTATTTTTTTATAAAGTACAGTTATCTTTTTTATTTAGTGGATCAATGAATGACTGCTGCCAATTTTTTCGCTATATGCCAAGAGCCAAACTACACTATAATGTGACACTTTTTTTTCCAGATTTTAGAAACTGCAAAATTGAAAAAAAGGCCTCGAGTTTCTTAATAGGACTGTCAACTGAACCGCAAAATTTATAATTAAGTTCACTATAGTTTTTCAATTCCGCGGCTAATTGAACACGAAATGAAATTTCTACAATTCAATTTTATTATCGACGAATATGTGGTTGAGTTTCTGTTTCAAACTTCAGACTACATTTTTTATGGTATCCAAGTAATTGATTTTTTAGATGGTAACTTTTCAATTCAACGCCTGTTTTTTTTTTTTAATTCAAGGAAAATTACGCTGTTTCTCTCTAAAATTAGGATCCGAGGTTTGCAAACAAGTTTTTTTATTCCGTATCGACAAAACACTTATCCCTGCCCACACTTATCACACATTTTAGAGACGAGCAAAAACTGGCAAAATCAATAAAGAGAGACTGATAGCCCGTGATATTATCAAAGTTTCAGAACCCAAAGAATCAATCGCCAACGAGAAAGTTAATAATCGAGACCATGTACAAAAGTATCTAAAACATTGTATAATTATTGTGCACATTTCCTAAAAAACTATATGCATAGCGAATTATCTTTGAGGTTTGTTCTTTTTTGTCCCATATTTCTTTTTTTAAGTCTTGAAAATATTCTCACAAAACTAAAATTTTTCTTATGAACTGTTCTTTTCTATATAATTTAGCCAATTAATCTTAGTTCTCTGATTTTTTTTCAACTGAATTGTCTGATTTTGAAATTGGCTGAATTGTCTGTGGCTCAGTTGTTTCTGCGCCAAATTTACGCGAATGTTTGCCTAATCATTGGCTAATGTGAAATGTTACGGAAAACAATTTTTTAGTATCTGAACCAATTAGACCTGACAGACTTTTCAAAAATTGTTCGAATTGAAATATACTTTTCTAAAGTTTTTCATCGACCAAATTAAGACGTATACTTAATTGCGATGATGATTTATTTCGATGGGTTATAATCCACATGCCACTGGAACCTTTCAATTAATTTGAATTAATATCTATGAATAACTTGTGGATACATTTTGCGTTCAGATGAACAAAAAAGTTACAATAAATCTCGCATAAAAATTTTTCTTTGTCGGCATTTTAGTGCTGAGAAAAATTATATAAATTTAAAAAAAGAGTTGAAATTGCTTGATTACTTAACTCATGTATCGGTCATCTGTCCTTATTCGTCTGACAATTGACATGAAAAAGCGGATAATTCATCAATACATACAGTCAATATCTAGGGCGACCACCTCAACACGGGCTTCTCGAGCAAATGTTCATTAAATGTTCATTTCTAATATCAGTTTGTTCATGTGTAGATATCTAGCATTCCGATATGCCTTGCGGGAGCTCTGCACGTGGGAAGTTATGAGCTGTTCGCGAGACAGTTCGACCTCCGAGTGAGGATCCTCGCCTACTTCGTCATCTGTGGTTAGTAGATCTAGCTTCGGGTCCCGTTTTGTAGTTAATGCCAAACTGTTGGCAATGTTCTTGTTGGTTAACGAATCTGCTCGAAGTCTGTTAGCTTAAAATGGCTCATTTCAACGTCGTGAATCAATTTCTCACTCTTTTTAGCACTAAAAAACATGTCAAAAAAATTAACTATATAAATTTAATTACTATCATGAGTATCTCAAATATTTGTCTACATCTACATTGAAAAAGTTCAATTTCAATTTAATCGAAATATTTTTTCATCACATTCGTACGGTTAAGTTAATGCTTAAATTTTGGTAATATTTTTTGTCTCGACAAATGTGAACGATGTTAAACGACCTAAATTTGCTCGTTTTGACGTAAGACGCCAATTGTAACGGCAATTTCGATACACAAAAGCAATGCCAATCTAAATGACCTAAAAGGAACTCCATTTTGACAGATTAGAATGTTCTGTTTTAGTTGGCCTTGGATCCATTTGGTTTCACATGACCTTGTCGTAAGTATTTGCCATTTTATTGTCGTTCAAGTAGTTCACGTTTTGTTCATTTGCAGTGCTAAATGTTCAGATGTGTTCCAATTCCGGGTAGTTCTATTATCGTTCGGAATATTGGCTCTGATCTATTGAGTCGTAGAGACATTTCGATTAAATTATCGTCGTATAACATTTTGAAAATGTTTTGTCTAAATTCTAATCTATTTTTGGTTAATTCTAAGCTATTAAGGTCTTGTTCGAGACTTATGGTCGCACCAGATGAGTTATAAGCGATGTGGTTAACTCATAGAGTAATTTCGGATAGGGTACACCGTCTGCTCGTCACGCTATCTTATTTTCGGCCGGATAGATTCGTGCAACTTCTTAGTCTAATACCGATCCTAATCTTACTCTTATACTATCTAGTCTCAGGTTGTTTAACTAGTCTCTGCTAGGCTCAATAGATCTAGGGTATACTGGTTTATTGCGGCTGCTGAAGTTCGCTTGGAGAGTCAACTAATTTCTAAGTTAAATTCAAATCTCTGGTGCTGAAATTACAAGTAATTTCAGCACTTACAAATAAGTGGGTTGTTAGTTAAATGGATCATGATTGGTTAATATTAAATACTTTACAATGGTAAAATATCTAATTTATCCAATCATAAAATGTAGTTTAGATCAGGTTCCACAAAACTTACTTTTCCCAAAAAGTCTCAATTAGAATTTAAATGACACATTTCATTAAAAAAACTATAAGAAATATCAGTTTTTGAAAATTAGAACCTTTTGATAATCACTTTTTTTTATTTGTCTGATCTTTTGCCTGAAAATTTACAATTATTGACGCCATACAAAAAACGACACAGTTTGCCATATATAGTTTTAGCAAAAATAAACAGAAGGTTTTTTTGCTTGTAGCGCAGCATCTGGAAGTTTTGTTCAATTTGAGTTTGAATGATTAATAGGACAAACTGATTTCTCTCTTTTGTTAATTTCCGGAAAAAATAAAGTATCACAAGTGATGATTTGAATGAGTCGATTTATATACCATATAATCCCTATTGAATCCTTTTCAATCCTAATTTGAACAATCTTGACAAAGTTTCAAAAAATTTTCTCAATTTCTTATTTCAGCAAATAAAGCGAGCGCGCAGGATCATTATAGATTCATAATCCGCCGTGAAAATTGATAGGCCGTGAAAAGTTTTATTCAATTTAAAAAATTTGAAACTTTAGGCGCCTTCTTGAGAATAAACAATTTTTTATAAAATCAAAACAAATTTAAGCAGAAAAACTTTTTCGAAGTGCAAATGTTCTTTCTTTTTTCTTTCTTGAAACTACAAAATATGCGTTATTTAAGGCTTGAATTCAAAACTTATGATTTTTTGTTATAAGTAAAGTAACCGGCTACCTTTAATTTGGTTGGTGGCTGACGCAAATTTGATAAATTCAGCATGAAATTCTACTCTAAATTATAAAACTTTAATTTTAAGTATTTTTTTATAAAGTACAGTTATCTTTTTTATTTAGTGGATCAATGAATGACTGCTGCCAATTTTTTCGCTATATGCCAAGAGCCAAACTACACTATAATGTGACACTTTTTTTTCCAGATTTTAGAAACTGCAAAATTGAAAAAAAGCCTCGAGTTTCTTAATAGGACTGTCAACTGAACCGCAAAATTTATAATTAAGTTCACTATAGTTTTTCAATTCCGCGGCTAATTGAACACGAAATGAAATTTCTACAATTCAATTTTATTATCGACGAATATGTGGTTGAGTTTCTGTTTTAAACTTCAGACTACATTTTTTATGGTATCCAAGTAATTGATTTTTTAGATGGTAACTTTTCAATTCAACGCCTGTTTTTTTTTTAATTCAAGGAAAATTACGCTGTTTCTCTCTAAAATTAGGATCCGAGGTTTGCAAACAAGTTTTTTTATTCCGTATCGACAAAACACTTATCCCTGCCCACACTTATCACACATTTTAGAGACGAGCAAAAACTGCCAAAATCAATAAAGAGAGACTGATAGCCCGTGATATTATCAAAGTTTCAGAACCCAAAGAATCAATCGCCAACGAGAAAGTTAATAATCGAGACCATGTACAAAAGTATCTAAAACATTGTATAATTATTGTGCACATTTCCTAAAAAACTATATGCATAGCGAATTATCTTTGAGGTTTGTTCTTTGTTGTCTCATATTTCTTTTTTTAAGTCTTGAAAATATTCTCACAAAACTAAAATTTTTCTTATGAACTGTTCTTTTCTATATAATGTAGCCAATTAATCTTAGTTCTCTGATTTTTTTTCAACTGAATTGTCTGATTTTGAAATTGGCTGAATTGTCTGTGGCTCAGTTGTTTCTGCGCCAAATTTACGCGAATGTTTGCCTAATCATTGGCTAATGTGAAATGTTACGGAAAACAATTTTTTAGTATCTGAACCAATTAGACCTGACAGACTTTTCAAAAATTGTTCGAATTGAAATATACTTTTCTAAAGTTTTTCATCGACCAAATTAAGACGTATACTTAATTGCGATGATGATTTATTTCGATGGGTTATAATCCACATGCCACTGGAACCTTTCAATTAATTTGAATTAATATCTATGAATAACTTGTGGATACATTTTGCGTTCAGATGAACAAAAAAGTTACAATAAATCTCGCATAAAAATTTTTCTTTGTCGGCATTTTAGTGCTGAGAAAAATTATATAAATTTTAAAAAAGAGTTGAAATTGCTTGATTACTTAACTCATGTATCGGTCATCTGTCCTTATTCGTCTGACAATTGACATGAAAAAGCGGATAATTCATCAATACATACAGTCAATATCTAGGGCGACCACCTCAACACGGGCTTCTCGAGCAAATGTTCATTAAATGTTCATTTCTAATATCAGTTTGTTCATGTGTAGATATCTAGCATTCCGATATGCCTTGCGGGAGCTCTGCACGTGGGAAGTTATGAGCTGTTCGCGAGACAGTTCGACCTCCGAGTGAGGATCCTCGCCTACTTCGTCATCTGTGGTTAGTAGATCTAGCTTCGGGTCCCGTTTTGTAGTTAATGCCAAACTGTTGGCAATGTTCTTGTTGGTTAACGAATCTGCTCGAAGTCTGTTAGCTTAAAATGGCTCATTTCAACGTCGTGAATCAATTTCTCACTCTTTTTAGCACTAAAAAACATGTCAAAAAAATTAACTATATAAATTTAATTACTATCATGAGTATCTCAAATATTTGTCTACATCTACATTGAAAAAGTTCAATTTCAATTTAATCGAAATATTTTTTCATCACATTCGTACGGTTAAGTTAATGCTTAAATTTTGGTAATATTTTTTGTCTCGACAAATGTGAACGATGTTAAACGACCTAAATTTGCTCGTTTTGACGTAAGACGCCAATTGTAACGGCAATTTCGATACACAAAAGCAATGCCAATCTAAATGACCTAAAAGGAACTCCATTTTGACAGATTAGAATGTTCTGTTTTAGTTGGCTTTGGATCCATTTGGTTTCACATGACCTTGTCGTAAGTATTTGCCATTTTATTGTCGTTCAAGTAGTTCACGTTTTGTTCATTTGCAGTGCTAAATGTTCAGATGTGTTCTAGGACGATCGGTCAATTGGCCGATGAATTGTTCATTCTGTGGCTTCTAGCTCTCGGACAAGCGTGGTATTTCCCTATTGCAATTTTGCCCGACAACGCAAAAGTCAAAAGGTAATAAGAGCAGCCAGTTAGTGTACCAGCAGCAAAGATTGCTCCGAACATGGTCATTTTTGTGAAAACTTGAATCAAATTCCAAGAGAAAAAACTAGTAAATTTTTTGATTTTTTTTCTCAAATCTTTTTTTTTTAATTCATTAAACTTGCTGCCAGTTAAGCCACTGGAAGAAAACAACTTTCTAAAGCATACAGCGCTGATTTAAGATATCCGGACAATATGAAAAAATAATTGAATTTAAACAGCATTTTTTCCAAACTGAGTTGACTTGAGACAAAAAATGATTCAAACAAAAATAGAATTTCAGCAGAAGTAGTATAATTTAAATTGCAAAATTCTGCCCAAAAATTAACCTCATAAACGAGCATTTTTGAGGTCTTTTATTCAATCAAAAGTTATGCCATAACTATTGGTTCAATTGCTGACAAAAGTAAATCAAAGTGATTATCTTATTTAGGAGGGCAAAGTTTAAGAAGGTTTAATCTCAGAAACATAGCGCAAAACGTCCAAAGATGGTTTTTAAATATAAAAGTTGGTGAAGTATAAAAAAATTTGACAGTTTTCGGTTAGCAAACGAAATTAAATTTAGTTATACACAACTGAGGCGATTATATTCTTCTGAAATTTTGTTGGGCTACACAAGAAGCTCGCTTTCACTCACTTTTATCGGGAACGGTTTTAACGTAATTTTTGATTGACTAAAAATGACAAAAATGGTAATTTTTGGATCAAAATCTTGGTGTCAATTTTGCAAAAAAATTTTTAAATCAGCAGTGGATCAATTAGTAAGTTGTGATGTAAAGAGGACAACAAAAATTGATGAAAATAATAAATAATATTGCAACATTATTCGCTTTTTGCGAAACTTAAACGAGATTATTGTTTTCGAAACAAAAAATGTTTTTTTTTTGAAAAAAAAATTTCTTGATTTCAAATCGGTTCAACTTAGTAATTAACTCTTTTCTAAAGAATGAAGGTAATTGTAATGTAGATTAAGATAGTCGAATTTTGTAACAATCAGCTTGCAGAAAACTTCGAAATTTAGATATCGAATTATCTCAAATTTTTCATTAGGAAACCAAAATTAAGCTGCGTAACTTGATGTATTAACCTAGGTATTCGGCCACAAATGACTAAACAGCTAATATGTAATACAATGAATAGTATAGTAGGGACAGTACAGCAGTGCAGAAGTACAACTGCTGAATATCAAAATCTTGTTTAACAGTGCTGAAAATTTTTTGAATCCTGTTTTTACACTTCCCAAATCACGTGTCTGTACAAAACAGTCCCATACAAAACATTCCGATATAAAACAGTCCGAAAAACAGTCTCAAGTAATAATTGTTTTAACAAGCCGATAGGCCGAGAATGGTCCTTTGTTTAACAAACATAAAGAACAAAATAAAGACAACCGCAGTCGAGCCAACGTGTTGCGAGCTTGCCTACAGATGGTAGGACTTAATACGAAATTTAGAGCCGGTTACCACTGGCGAACTTAAACCGGATTGTTTTGTATTAGGACTGTTTTTTCCCTTCATTACATGACTATTTTGTATTGGACTGTTTTGTACGGGACTGTTTTGTTTATGCACCCCCCAAATCACTGTCAAGTTAACTATATAGAAATGGACGGATGTTGAAAAGACAAAATTGGCTTTTTAATTGATGCCACCTGAAATATAAACAAAAACTCCACAAGCGCTGACTCATGTTTGTTTTTCTGAACAAACATCTAGCTCATATTGTTTGTTAGATTTTCTTCTCGGTTTCGCCGTAAAATAAAACAATATTTACAAAAAACGGCCGACGATTATCAAACATAACTTAATATTATCAAAATGATATCAATTTTTGGCACTGTTGAACACATTTGCAGTTTCGGCACTGTTGCACGCCGCCCTATAGCTCTTCTTGTTATTAATATGACGTTATGCTATCTCGCAGAGCTATTTACATATAGATACCAAGAGGATTTTAAACAAGGGTTTCCCAAATGAATTATTTATTATTTGTTATAACCTTTAATTATTATAATATTTGTTGAATATTAATGAGAACCTAGAGTCTATAAGGCGTTGATGACTCATTTTAGATCACACCTGGCTGTGTTTTTCTGCAGTCTGGCTCTAATCAGCACCTGTCTGTGTCACACCTACCCAGTAGTGAACCACTTCGCCCTCTGCGCCATCTCCCTCCCACAATACACTGGCATGACAATCGCATACTTCACTCGCAAATCACCCCCTCCCCAAATGCTCACACACATGTACTACGGCTGTATGGGGGTGTGGATACTCGCTTTCCTCGTCTGGATCGCAGACCAGACAATTTGCACCACCCTTCTCGCCTGGAACATTCCATATCTCCATGCTACCTGGCACATCCTATCCTCCATAGGATGTTGTCACTCTCTCAATTTGAGTGTCTATCTCGACCTTGAGAGTTCTTCAAAGTTCAATCAAATGACGATCAAATTGAGAAAATTCCCTCAAAATTTGGGATACTTTTCGTATCAGTACCTATCAATCAGTTAGCTTTAGTGCTCCAGTTATATCGAGTAGTAAACTCAACAAATTCTCAGTAGTTCAAAAATTTCTCCAAAACTTTTCAGTTTTTGGGACACATCAACTGATTTCTATTTAAACTTCTTCTTGTTTTGTTCGGCTGACTGTGATAAAATATGAAAATATTATAAAGTTTTCGCATAGGAGGTTTATCAAAGTGAATCCCCTTCTGACGGTCTTAATTTATTACCTCGATCAGTTACGAGACAGCAACTAATGTGAAACGACAAAAACTAAAAAAATTCCAAATATAAATACGGATTGATAATATCATCGGATGATCACGAAGATTTTCGACTATAGATACGACGAGCTAATGGTATCAGATGCCAATTTTTGTAGGGTTGGATCAGATGCCCTTACTTCAAGCATTCGCCCTTCTCACTACCAAAATAGGCACAAAATTTCTAAAATCCGTTCTCTTGAGAAACTCTTGAGCCCGCCCTGAACAAAATAGTCGTTATCATTGCCTTATACTGTTTTCTAACCTGTTTGCACCTGTTAGTCACTATAGAGTAGAATTGTTCAATTTAAAGTTATATTTGAACTGTTCCATGAAGTCAAAATCTCTGAGGGGAGCAAAGTTTGCGTAGTCATGCTCTGAAGAGTTTTTTTTCTGTTATCAGGGAAAAACTAGGATTTTCTCGAGAAAAGGAAAACATTTCCTACAATTTGTCTACATTTTTTTAAGACGACCAAATTGATTTTACCAGCGCTCCCAAATTACTTTAAGACCTATTTTGACGGAAAATTGTGCACGCAAATTTTAAAAAAAATTGAACAAAATTGCGTCTTTTTTGGCGCGCACTCCCCCATCTTGATTAGTAAATATTGGCCAAAGACGCACTTAGAAAAATTTAGATTTGGTCAGCTTAAAATGGATGTCTTAAAATAGTACCAAAGGGGGACCCTTTTGAGTAGGCAAGGTTCAAATCCACGAGGAAGGGGGAAGCGCCCGAAGTCTCTGAAACTCTATCTCGCAATGAGGTCCCATAGATATTAATCGATTGTCATAATTTTTCATGGTCTGTCTCCATGAAACTCGAAAATAATCCATTAAAGGGATTATTTAATGATTATAAAGCAATTAAAATGGAGATCACTTTCTTCTATATATAATCGCTTATAATGGATTGTAATGAATTATAATAGAACTTTGCAATAATAATACGAATAATTACGAATTAAAATACGAACTTTGCAAAAAAACCTTGAAAGTAAATCGAACCTTAAAATCGCCCGTGTTTTACGTTTGGCTACAGTAGAAATCCAGATTGTTTGTTCTTTTTTTGTTTCCCCCCTGAACACTTCACATTAACTCCTACCATTCTTACTTCACTTACCACAACCTCCCCTCTCTCGTCATTAACCTTTATTTCCACCACTTACCGTAAAAATAACTGAAAACACCTTGAAAATACGTGAAGACTCCCACACACGTTTAACCTCCCCCTCCTGCAAACCTTTACGCCCTACTCACCCCCCCCCCCCCAAAAAAAAAAAAACTAATGGGGAGGGGGTATGTGAGGGGGAGGGGGTGGGGTGGTAGGTGTGCGTATCAATGCGGGGGGATGGGTGCAAATTAATTTGGGCGTGTTGAACTTGGGTGTTAAAATTGAGAAGAGTTGGAATTAAAGTGTGAGGGATAAGATTTTGTAAAAATAAAACAATTTAGAAATCAAATAGGCTATTCCGGTATTGAAGAGAAAGCTGCATATTTTACAGAAAATTTGGAAAAAATAATGGAGATTATTATCCATTATAATCCATTATAAAAGAATTTAAATGGATTATTATAGATTTAATTTCTTCAAATAATGGAAGGAAAAGATTATAATCGGCTGTGTGGTCATTGGTAAGGGTAATTATAATAAACAAATTTTATAAAACCGAGCGATCAAAATAAAGTTTATTCTAACAAAACATCAATCTGATGAAGTTAATGAAGACAATCGTAGTCCTAGTAAGATAGTTTTTTTCATTTAACAAAAATATCACCACATACACGGTTATTCTAGTGTTACTCACTCAATTCGATTATCTCCTTCTATTGCTTTTTCTTATAGCCACATCAAAATAACGCACTTCAGATTTAAACAGAGGTCCCGCAAAAAATGACGAGTATAATATTTAATGATTTATCTTTTCTACGTTTCAGCTTTTTTTCTGAAAAATCGAAATAACTAATTCAACCCTGGTGTTAACTTTTCTAGCCCAACTGATACGGATCAGTATGCTTCTCCAATTTTGGAATTGGCAAACTAATTTTGTGATGTTTTTTTCACCTCTATTTTTCTTTTGGTTTTCTATTTCGAAACACAATTCTTGGTTGAGACAAATCCTCTGCCGCTGATGACGCTGAAATTGAACCTACATGAGTTTTTTGGTGGACATACTTGTAATGGTTTGGTATTATGATGCTTCGCTCGTTTTTTGCTCGTGGGATATTTCTGGTTTACGAGTTGTCTTCCTATTTGAGATAGCAATAAATATCTTACAATGTCCTTCCAATGTTTCGTTATTTTGAATTCGGACTATAATGATTAGAATGGCTGGTTCAAATTTTCCGGAAGAGCGTTTTTTCGCTGAAGTTTCGATCTCCTGGCTTAGATTTGTGTACTATTTCTCGGTGTCTTCTATAGAGAGTATTTAACACTGAAAATACTCTCTAAAGTATTAAGACGAGAACATGAAAACGGCAAAGTGAACAATTTTATATCAAAACAAGACTGCTCGTATCAGACTGCTGAATTTTCCGACTGCCTTTTAAGGAGTATGGAGCAGTAATAACATTAAAAAAATAAATGAAATAAAACGAAATGAAAAATTGTTTTTCTAAAATTTGAAATTTTTTATGAAAATCATCCCCCACACGCCATATAAAGTACAAAATGATAGATTTCGCTCCTTGTAACAAATCAATTATGACAAATAAGCTCCTTTCAACCAGTTTGGTACGACTTATAAGACGGATTAAATCTCCGCTTACGCTTTGCGTTAATAGCGCGAAATATATCGCGCGTTAATTGTCCCAAATTGGCCAAAATGGCAATCGTTAAACCCCCTTAACTTTACGAAAAATGATCACAGGTGAAATGTTTTTTCAAGTTTTAGCTCAAGACAACAATAGCTTTCGAATGATATTAAAAAATTCCGTCAAAAATGGCTAGTTAGAAAGTCGAAATTTGTCTGAAGAAAAAAAACCAACCCCGAGCACAAATAGTCCGTTACTTTCGTATCAAAAATCGGAACAACAAGAATTAGACAAATCACTGCTGCAGAAAGCGTACACCCGAAAAAATGACATCAAATCAAATGAAAAAAGCAATCAAAAAAGAAATGTTTATCAAGTCTGAATTTTTTTCTCTCTTTTTTGCTCGTATTAAGTCTTTAAAAATAAAGTTAATGAGATGCACGATAAGTAAATTTTAAGAGTTCGAAATTTCAGTTTTTGTTTCAGTTTATAAATTTTTTCTGAATAGATGGTACATAGATTAACCAATACGGTCCATAGAAGATGGTATTGAATGGAAACTTCTTAGCGGCGCTTCAACAGGTTGAAATTCCTTCTGCGCTTGCTCACGTTGGCGCTCATTCAATGATAAGTTATCTATATTGTTGAATTTTTGCACAACTTTTTACAAATTTATAGTATTATTCGTGATTGATGGTAACGTTATTCTCAAATGTCTGAAAACAGGATTTTAAAAAAGATGTTGTCTCTTCAGATCAACTCAGCCCGCTACCTGACTGTTAAAAATTTTCTTAAAACTTCGAGGATTACTATTGATTCAGTCTTCTTTACAAAAACTGTCCGTTAGTTTGATCAAAGCATAAAAATTGATAAAATCCATAAAACTTGTTTTACAATATTTCCGCTGCCATTTTTCTGGAGGCCAGTAGAAAATCTTCGTTTTGAGTTCATCTATGAATAACCGTGTTATGAATAACTGGGTGTTATGAATAACCGTGAGTTATATGCAGCGTAGTTAACTTATAGCTAGCAGCGGGCTATTTCCTTATTTTTAATGAACGTAAGAAAATTTCGAATACAGGGTAAACCAACTTTAGGTGGAAAAAAAGCTATAAAACAAGAAGATAAAAAATATTTTGAAATTTGAAAAATAAAAGTTTTTCAAAATCGGTTAAACTTAAACATTATGAAAAAATTGGGCTACTAGGTATGTAGGGGACCTGAAAACTTGTTCAATTACCTCACTCAGAGGATATTACTTGCAAACAGGTTGAATAAATAGTGAAATTGCTTTGTCTAAAAATTCGTGAAAAGTTGGAACAAAAATTGATTTCTGTTCACAAAATTCATCAGCATTGACAAATTTTAAGCCGGGAAATACTGACGACTGAGTAAGTTGACCACGTTTAGACAAAATTTATGAGTTATTCGAATAAAAGATAAGTCAAATTTATGTTTTGAATTTGTTCTATAACAAAACTCAAAAACTGAATTCTTCAGGGTTACTTTTTATTTCAACCGGCTTGAATCTCAGCACGTCGAAGTGTTGAAAAAAATACAAAATGAAATTTGAAAGTTCTAGGGTTACTTCAACGGACTTGGAAATCTTTCAAGAGCTTTAGTTGACTGTGGAAAAACCTATCCGGAAAATTATTTTCTAAATCCGCCGAAATTATTTTCTAATTGCATGTTCTTTCTTCTACTTTTCTAGTAAATATTATATAAACTAAGATGGGTCTATTAAACTTAGACTACTGAAGGCCTTATTGGCATAGACAATTCTTCATTGGACTATTAACTGATTGATTCAAAAATCACATTTTTCGTCCTCGGCAGTGAATAATTTATCAGCAGAAAAGCTTTCTACTGATTGAAACAGCAAGAGATTGATAGAAATAAGTTTCTATCGCGCTTGTAAATGTTTGACTATCGAGCGTGTATGAGTGGTGGTGTCCTGAATCATCGTGAGTTTTAGGCAGCGCCCTTAAATTATTGCTAGCCGTGGGCTGTTACCTTATTTTGAATGAACGTATGAATGGTTCGAATACAGGGTAAATCGATTTTAGCCGGTGAAAAAGCTATAAAACGAAGAAAATCGAAAACATTTTGGACATTGAAATAATGAAAGGCTAAATTCGATTTGTTCTCTAATCGAATCATTCATACGTTTGTTCAAATTAAGAAAAAAAGTACAAAATGAATTTTGAAAATAGTAGAATTACTTCAACGGACTTGGAAATCACTCCAGAGATTTAGATGACTGTAAAAAAACTATCCGGAAAATTCTGCCCGCCGAAATCATTTTCTAGCTACCAGTTCTCTCTTCTACTTTTCCAGTATAAACAGTATAAAATTTGATGATGCTTTTTAACTTTTGGAGGTCTTTTGGCATAAACAATTCTTCATTGGACAATTATGTGACTGATTCAAAAATTACTTGTTTTGTATACTGAATTGATTAATTTATAAGCGGAGAAGCTTTCTACTGATTGAAACAGCGAGAAATTAATAGAAAAACCTGACTATCGCCCTTGTAAATAGTTTAATGATGTTTAACGGGTATGAGTGGTGGTGTTACGAGTAGTGGTGAGTTTTA